ACGAACTTACACGAACTTATACGAACTTCAATGAACTTCAGTTTGCTTTTTAATCTCTACGCTTGGAACAGACGTCCGCTTAGCATATTTTATAAAGTAGTACCGCAAAAGGCTTTGCTGAAAGCGGTTTCTGGTCTTGCGATTATGGGCAGTGGTTTTACCTCTTTTGAATTCCCTCCTTTAAATAGAAAAAAATAGTTTTAAATAAAAAAAATAGTTTAAAATCGAACACTAAGTATCGAAGAATACAGTCCAGGTTTTCATAAAACGTGGTTCCACCTCACTTTCACACAAAACCCACATAGTATTCTTGGCAATTTATTCAGAAATTAAGGCGCCATTCCTGCACGGAATTTCTACTTTGCCTCGCACCTTACAATGCTTGCTTCGAACGCAGCACGCTCACATGAATAACAATATAGGTACATACATATGTAGGTAGGACCACAGGCCCTATCGCTAAATGCAGCCCCATGCATAATGCACGCGTCATCTGCGCGATGCTTCGGGCGTTTCAGGGTTGAGCTTCACTTGCAGCGAGGAATCTGGAATGTGGAGACATTTTACTTTCTGTATTGCGTCAGAATAATAAAATTTAAAAAAAAAACTGAGGTAATATAAAGTTTTTTAGGTGAAACGTTGTATATGTAACAAGAAACTACCTTAATTTGTCCTTCAATCAGCGACCTGGATAACCAGCTATCTGATTGAATGAATGAATTTCTCATTTGAGCTGTTAGTTCAAGGGTGAAGGGATTTTTATGAAAACATACTTACTACCAGGATAGTATTTTAGTTTATGTTAGAAATATTACCAGCACAGAAATCGAATCACCATTACAAATACCCAATCACTGTCACAAATAAACACAAAACAGTTTGACTTCACGGTTGGCGCGATGGCTGGGCAACTGGCTGTCGCGCAACGTGTTGCGGGTTCGATTCCCGTACGGAACAAATCTTTCTGTGATCCATAGATAGTTGTTCCAGGTCTAAAATTATTGAATAAATGAAGAATGAACTGATGTGTATGTGAAATTGAATGTTTGTAAACGCACCCACGACACAGGAGAAAATCCTAGTGTGGGGCAACGTTTTTACATAATAAAAAGAAAGAAAGAGAATCAAACAGCTATTCAAACAGGCCATTGATTGAATAGCTAATTAGGATAGTTGACTGGGACATTCAAAAGCATTTCTCTTGGATTATAGATGATCTACTTAATATCAAAGCAAGCTCGTGTGTCACATATTTCATTATCTAGTTGGACAATTAATTCACCAATTACCTTAACCGAACAATAACAAATACATAATAATATAATGATTTCCACATAAAACTCTAATACATTAGATCTAGCGACTAAGGACAAACTTTGTATCTAGAATCTATTTAAACATCTCAATCTGTTTTAGAAATCTCGCATCAGCACAATTCTCACATGAACTATAAAACGTAAGTGGTTAAAGACGCGTTTGTTTTACAGTATTCAGTGGCAGCGTTCCACTATCGGCTATAAAAATGAATGCAACTTTATGCCGCTGTAACTCAGACCCGACCCCACCGATTCATGCGCTCAGCTTTTGTGCGCGGAACGTTTGGTTCAATCTAGTGGTTTTACGGCTGCCTTACTAGTTTAATACCCCACTAGATGTCGTCAAACTGTCCTGTTACTCTTAGCGATTAGGTTTACGTAAACGTGTTGCGGTTCGCTCCAAAACGTTTAGGATGTAGGTTGTGTTCAGATTTGTACGAAAATTTGTTGGTAATTTAAGTTTTTTTTTAATTGTTGCTGTTCATTTTTATCTTATAGCTAATCGCTGTTCTAACTGCCAGTTCATTATTCGATATCACTTTCTAGTATAAAACAAAGTCACTTAAACTGTTTCTATATCGCTATGTATGTCCTTAAATTTTTAAAAGTATGTAACAGATTTTGATGCGGTTTTTTAAGTAGATAGAGCGATTGAAGAGGAAGGTATAATAATATCATGCATTATGTAGTGGAGACATTTAGTATCAGTTTTTTTTTTTATAAGTCGCAAATAGTTTTTAAGCTTGGCTCACAACAAAATACGAAACTAGTTTCTAAAATACATGCTCCCCTTTTCCATTAAACGTGTTAGCTATATATTCGTACTACAACACATATATATCTATACCACTATAATGGGCACATTTGAAATCATTGGCCCATTTCACGTCGGCCACAGTCGCTTAACTCTTTGTAGCTGTCAAATATGTGCAAGAGAGGAACGATAATGGAAAACCATGAAAGTATGTCAGAAGTATGGTAATGCGTTCATTTTGAAGTTATGGAAAGTAGCTGTCGGAATACAGGAAAGTATTGTTTTAAATGGATTTTTCACGAAAGTGTTGCTGAATTTCATTTCAAATATTAAACGCATGATGTTTTCACTGAATATGTTTTTCGGTACATAAAATATTCGTCGACAATTTGAGACAAATAAATCATTCTCCTTTCGCTTATTAAACTACTATGTAAAAGAATATCCTATCAAATTGAGTCACAACGCCCCTGTCTACTGCTCAAGAAATGATATAAACTTCGAAGTGACATTTCGTTAAAAAACGTCACATTCTTCACTCCGTCCTGCTCCAACAATACACAACCAGCTCAAACATCTAACTTCAAAACAAAACTCAGCTTCATAACTTAATTGCAATTATAACAACCTCTTACAAAATCCTTTACGAACTCTACATATCAACAAACAATAAAAAGGCTGCGAAACTTGAATCTTCACAAGAGATACAGCCACATGTGACTTTACAAAGTAGGTCACACTGGCTCATTACAATTAATTAAAATTACGCCGAGTAAGCCGTATGCAACATAACATTGTGTTGCTTATCTCGTGACGTCATTCATGGCATTGGTAATGTAAGTAATTAAATTGTGACGTCATACTTTTCAAACTAGTTTTATTATGTATTACTTATTTTATAGTGTAATACAAATGTTAATAAATGCATTTATAGTTAATTGGTTTGAAAAAATAAGTACAGAGTACGAACAGACAGACTTCATTTCATGTCTATATGTATTTATAAGCAATATAGAACAAGAAAAATATTAGACAGTCTACTAAACATCGGATAAAATAACTATAAACCAATCTCTGATCGTTTCTTTAATATAAACATGAACACAATAAAAACAATATATATATGTAAGTATGCTGAGTTCTAATTCTGCGTTCAATACTAAAAAACATCACAAACAATAGAAAATTCGTATGCCATACAGAAAAAAAACCTAACCCAAAAAAGAAAGTACGAGTATTGGGGTCCTTAAAAATATGTTTCAATAGTAAGGTTCAATTTTAAAATACTCTCTTTTATAAGTTAGTTCCGTTTTCTTTTCTGATTAAAAATTTATCAAAATTTCTATAAACAAAAGTTTACAAAACTTGCGACAAAAAAGAACGTCAAAAAACTAATAAATCTAATACAGACCTTAACAAAATGTCCGTTTTACAAATTATTTATTATAACATGATATCAAAATATTAGGTTTTATATAGGTTTTACTTCAACACTGCTTTACAATGGCTACTGTGAAAATCTATGCCGTCATGCTAGCTATTCATCGGCTCATATTGTTTAACAAGTCGGCTATTGTAATTGATATACGATACCTCCGTTGATATGATTAATTATTCACATGTGTTAGATACATAATTTATGTGTTTATTTATAAAGTTTCACGAATAATAAAAATGTATTGAATAAATTAATATGCTACATTCATAGTGCAGTTACTTTTTTATGTTTGGACGATATTTTTTAGCAAGAGGCTTACTAGGTTCTTGAATCTTTCTTTGCTGTTTTCTCGGACTATTAAAGTCATGGTTTAACCTTGATTGCACAGAACATCATCAGCTTATTGAGGATAATTGATAAGTGCCACTTAAGTGATAGGTATTGTGGTAGCACGTGAGCACTTATAGGTTGATGATGATGATAAAGTGAAGAAAAGGCTATTCCTATATAAATCTAGATAAAAATTAGTGTGATAGGTTTAGACTGGGTGTCTTCAAGGCATGAGTGAATAGGTTGCTTAGATAAGCGTGCTCCACGGTATGCCACATCTTATCTTAGTCGGGATAACAGCCAAATCAGCCATTAACAAAACCAAAAAAGAACAGAAAAAGTAGTGAAGCTCATTATCATGGCTATGAAATATCCATGACGACGTATTTTTTTAAGAATTCACTAAAAGTTATGTTGAAAAAAAACACCGCTATTTGAAAGTCGCACAAGGGCTTTTATTCATAAAGACTATATTTCACACGATTAAAACGTTATCTTTAATATATTTAGTATGTCTCACGATAGGAACTATTCATAGATTTGGTGTCCTGGCGCTTGAGCAAAAAAAAATCACGCTAAAGCTACGAGTAGATACTAAACATAAACGCATCAATTCAAGCCCAACGCCGCAGTATCATTTGTTCCACCGCTTATCTTTAATTAAGCAATACATCATAGCTAAGCAACACCCGTTTTAAGTTCCCAAACACACCAACAAACCTACCAGCATAACTTGACCTTCACCTCCTCCCCTTCCAACACAAAATACCAAACAATATCTGGGGCACAGTGCGGTTGAATGGTTCTCGAAAATCTGGTCGTGGTTACATGGCAAAGATTTAGGGTAAATGTACATGTTTTCGGCTCCATCTGTTTAAAGTTAATTAAGTCGCGTAAGGGGTTTTTGTTCTACGCTGACTTGTTAGTTTTTAGACACTTTTCGTGTTACGAGGGGCTTGCCGAGATGTGGGTGAAAATTATGTTTTTCATTAACTTGTGTGTATAACATAATAACACGGCTGTTACGTAAACAGGTTGGCAAAAGTGTGCCAACATTACATTCACTTCCATAAGTTATGTTATAAATTTAAGTGTTAGAAACCTCCAATATATTCTCTGAATACAACAATTATAAGTGTGAAAGGGCTATGCTTCGACACGAATGGGTCAGCTCGACCGGTGCAATACCGCAGCCTCACAGAAAAACAACCACAGCGTTTTGTTTCGCCGTGTAAAGTTCCGTAGGCCCCATTCTTCCATCCCCGATCCTATGCTGTCGCTGGTGTCCATAGGCGGCGCTGATTGCTTACCATCAGGTGACCCGTCTGCTCGTTTGCCGACCTATTAAATATAAAAAATAAAACAAAAATGAGGATTACAAAATAATGCAATGCAATAATGTTTAAAAGCACTCATTTATTTATATGAAACGGAGTTATGTCGGATATTAAATCATACGCCTATCAAAATGCATATATTTGCAAATATAATTGCATTTCTCCGAAAATTATTTATTTCATTAATTCTGTTGCCATACAAGTGTACCTACTGGTAAAATAATTTCAATTTTGCATCACTATTATCTGTGGAAATAAATTTACAGAAAGACAAATAAAATGTAATTTGATTAAAACTGTTCTATTAAAATATAAAATAAGAAAAAAAATATTAATATTAATTCTACCCCAAAAGTTGCAAACTTTTCAATAAATTAATCACTGTTCATTTAATACTAATATCATACTTTGTAAGCGGGACTTGCCTCAGTTCGCCTCGCCTCACTTCGCTTCGCCTCGCCTTCGTTCGTCTCGCCTCACCGACGCGCCGTGCTTCTACGTACGCTGTCTTCACTAATTATTTCCATACGAAGCTAATTGTGCTCAGTTTAGTTTCAATTATGATATTACTTCTTTAGCTATGAAGGTACTGCTTCGGGAACGTTTCATTCAGTCTCTCGTCTTAATATAATCTCCGAGTAAAATTATTATTACAAAATGAAAGTGATTTTCATATGTCTTCAGTCTTTAACGATGTTGACTTTCTTTTGAGAGTGTTTTATGATGAGATACATACGTTATTGGTATTCAATTAATATTATAAAAGTGTTTTTTAAATTTAGATACTTGTGTATATGCCTAATTAAAAAGCACATGGGTTTTTTACTGACAATTTGGTGGTTAAAGCTATAGACGATATTTTTTTTGTGATGGGATGGCATATGATTAGACAGATTACCTGATGGTAAGCAATCGGCGAAGCAGGTGGACTCTCGCAACACCAGAGGCATTAGGAATGCGTTGCTGGCCGTTAGAGAATTAGGGTTTCGGTTATTTAGGAGGGCGGAAGGGATTGGGAGAGAGAAAGAAGTTGTTTCACGCCTGTTTTCTGTGAGGCCGTGGTAGATTTATAGATATTTACTTATCATCATCAGCCCATATTTATACCACTGCTCACAAAACTCTTCTAACACGACGTTAAAAGCAGATAGACTCTTCTCAGGAAGCAATTATCAAAACTAATATTATAAATGCGAAAGGAACTCTGTCGGTCTGTCTGTCTTTTCTTCTCGCCTAAAATACTAAACCTAACATATTTTGGAACTCGAGAAAGGATATAGGATAGTTTTTATATCAAAAATCTGCAAGAAGTCACTATTCCACGCGAACGGAGTCGCGGGTAAAAGCTAGTACCTAATATATCATTACACATAAGGATATTTAATTGCAAAATTCTAAGTAAAATCACTGTTTGTGAAATTGAGCCGTGTTGATTCAATAGAATGGTGTGTCCCTATAATATGATATTGTTCTATGGTAAAGCGAGTATGATATTTACCAACCCTATAAGCACTCAACACCTATATCTTCGGGGAATGGTATGGTGTTAAGATGTTTGCGAATTAAGATGTATGTATATTCACACCTAAATCCGATGAGACCCCTTGAGGTATGTACACAATACACCGATATTACGACATGCATTTTACTTTGATTTCCTTTATATTTGTCTTTCAAGTATTATGTTATCTAAACGTTATGTTCTTATAATTTTCTCTCTAACTTTCTTAAAATTTCAAATACGACATAATAGTAAAAAAACAAGCGTGTGAACGCTTCCGGCCTTCGCCTGGGGTTTGATTAATCAAAAGGCTGGTAACGCGCCTGTGACTCCTCCAGCGCCGCAGGTATTCATGGGTGGAGCAGATCACTTACCATCAGGTGATCCGTCTGCTCGTTTGCCTCCTTGTATTTTACTTGATGGTCATAAGCAGTTTCACAGTGCAAGTATGATTATTGAAATCCAATCCTTTCCTCTACTCATTTCTCTAAAAGGCAACGCACTTGCAATTCCATGTATCCATGGGTGGCACTGATTACTTACCATCACGTAATCCGTCTCTTCATTTGCCGCCATATCACATTATAATGTTAATATTTACCTCACAACAAGTCACAACTTTCAAAATATTTCAATCGTATTTATTCCACATGAAAAAAAATCTCTTTTATTCGTTCGAGACGAGAACGACACGTGTCTGAGGAGGCGACGAGGCGTCAACGCGTCCCTATCACAAAAGATTTAGCCGCTTGTTCGAGCATTCAAAGTTTAATTGAATCCTATGAGAACTTAATTGAAGGCACGCGAATATCCTTTCTTTGACATTTAAACTTAATGTTAGAACTTAACCGGGTTTTACACGTGGGAGTATGCTGATTTCACAATTAAATACCTATTTCACTTGATTAAGATTTTGTTTGTAGTTTTAATTGTGTAATTTCGAATTTCAAAGTTGAAGAATGTAGGTACGTGTTTAAGTATACATATGTACATAGTTAGGTAATTTTCTGTTAAAGTGTTAATTGTGTTTTCAAGTTTAGGATTAATGTTTTGACTTGTAAAGTGTTTATTTGCTTGTACAGTACAGTCAAATTTCAGCACTGTGTTTGTTGTTATCCTTTCAAATCTTTTATGAGATTCTTGTACGTTAATGCTAAAAAATTTGCTGTAACTAGCTCATATGTTGTGGTTGCGGGCGTGAGCCCGCAACCTCGGCATATGAGCTAGTTCTAAGGCCGTGTTCTAAGGCCCTGGCTCAGAGGAGAAAGAATGGGGAGGTTTTTAGTCAGTAAGAATCTGACACTCCGTCTGGCTCCACCCTCCGCAAGAGAAGTCAAATGAAGATATTCCCACTCAAAAACGTAAAAAAATCGAACTCATTATGTAATGCTCAACTTACAACCAGCAACATCCGACCAGAAACTATTAAAAAGTATAAATATCACATAGACATCATTAAACATGACATAGTAACAGCTATTCCAATAAATCAAGCCGTTCTAAATACAAATAGCATGATAAAAAACTTGTCCAATTTCAGCCTCCTGTGGACGCCTACATAAACCATTCGATAACACAAACACGTCACTCAGCTCTCGATCTAACCGCAGTTTGTTCCAAATTAAGTTTCGGATTACCCGACTTTACTATTAGTTCGGACTTAATGTAAAAGGGTGTTGTGTATACGAATTTCGTTTGTTTTACACCCCTTTAATCCTGGAGCTGATTACGTATTCGAGATGCCCCAAATTGCGTATCAATATGCCGGTCGTTTTTAGATCACGCACCTAAATTACTGGCTGTGGTTACGTGGAAAATTGTTTGAGAATCGTATAAAAATTGTTAGAATTTTAGAATAAAAATAAAGTTTTTCCATTAGCTAAGAAAAGTATTGCAATTTTTACTGTTAGATTTTATACTAACTTTAAATTGACGATAGAAAACTCGTTACCTCTTAATGCAAATCTAAACAAAGCTACGTGATCCACATTATTATCAAAAATCAAAACTATGAAAGCGCAATTTCTGCCAAAATTAACACTAATAGTCGCATATTCTCTCTGACTACGAAACAAGTTCATGCTCGACAATATGATACAGATAATCCGCACAATACACTCTCCCATGCTCACACGGGTGCAGCAGCCAGCGTCAATTTAATTACACATCAAAACATCAAGATGGCGTATTCTCGTACTACGCCGGGTACGCCGCGTTTGCGTACGCCCCAATTCGCATATGACAATGTCGGCGTATTCCAGTCACTACGAAATAGGGATACGAGAGACTCACGCCCTGATTATTGCGGCCGTAACACGCTTTTTGTTGTGTTCTCTGATTTCGAGGTTTCGTGTTTTTCAGTTCGACAGGGTTCAGGTATGAACGGAGACATTTTTGAAATGGAAAGTAGCATTTAGTAATCAAGACAGCAGTTATGACGAAATAATGGATGTCATATTAGATAGAAGAGGGTATCTGCCTAAATGCATTGTGTCGAACTGACATAAACATAATGACAGGCAAACCAAGAAACTACCCATCAATCGATCCCCTATTGTGAGAGCCGTACACCCTGATTCATGACAATCAGACCCCAACTCAAGTATCAACATATTATATGTATAGGCAAAGTCTCAATAGGGCCAAATGAAAGCCTGTCCCAGAACTGCCAATCATATATTAATAATTAATTATGGTATACGCCGCGACATGTTATATTAATTAGGTGAATGATAGGTTTTGTTCGCTAGTGATAGAAATATATATCTGTATGTATGATCGAGTTGCCCGCAGAGATCTAATAGAGTAGAAATCTAATTATATTGATATGAACACTAATTAGTTTGGAAGATGAAAACGTACGCAATATATCGTCTCGTATTGAGTTTTTGCTTTAGTAATGGGAATGTTCATTTGAGTTACTTTGGCATAGAATTCATATATGCTTCTCTGAAGTTGTGGTCTACTTTGAGAAATCACAGTGATATATTCTCTTTTTCTAGTTATCGTCGCATTATACATATAATTAGAGTAATTTGCCGACCAGCAAAGCAATAAAATCAAACTATATATGGTTTTTAAGCCACTTAAAAACCATACCAAAAATTCATTGAAGAGCTATTTCTTCTATTATTACGGAGCACATTATCCGCACTCTTTGAACCAAAAACGTCTTAACAAAAGTGTCTCGACGAGCATTCACTGCGGATGACAGTGAACACAAAATGATGGATGGAGTTACGTCTTCCGCGATGAAGCTGGTTGCTATGTTTTATGGATTCAAAGGTCTCAAGGTGGAGGATATTGATGTAGAGCGATTTTCGTGTAGAACTCAGTTTTATTGAAATTGGTTTAAGTACGCTACGTGTTTTACAATGTCATTGGTAGAATAATAATGTAGTAGGTTAATTTTTACACACACTTCTTACTGTTTAAAAGAGATGTTTGGCCAATGTGAGAATAAAATCTGAAATTGACAGCTCGACAGTTACGTGAATTGACAGCGAAATCATAAAATAAAAAAAATGTTGAACAATAAATGTGTATGGTTGTAAAAGTGTTGTTAGATACTCAATCCTTAATTATTTAAAATGTCGCATTATAAATATTGAATAATAATTTTAAGTGAAAAAAGATTGCTCACAAGAATAAACTCAGTTTACGAGTCCTTAGAAATTGTTTTCGCAACACAATCGTTACTTAGGAATAGTTTAAGTAATCCTCGAATGTCTAAGCGCGACAGTGAGCCTAAGTTTTGCTGCACCCCTATAACCACAAGACAAAATTCAAATTCAAAGCAAAGCAAAGCAAGGTGGAGAGCCTAGTTTCTGCTCACAATTACAACAAAGTAGTTTAATTCAATTAGGATCTTGGAGGGAAGTTGTTTTACGAGCGTGCATAAATCCGCTTTGTTTAATGTTAGGTGCAAACAAAGCAAGTTATTCTTACTTCGCAGTTGAAACAAATCCCACGTGTGTTCCATCCAGCCTGGCTTTTTTATATTTTTGCCAAGTAATCAGAAAGCTTGAGTTAGTGCGTTTATACTATGGTGGGGCCGAGAAAATAAAATATTTAAAGGTTTTTTTAAGACATTTGGATATTTAACTAATAAAATGTTATTTAGGACTTTTGTTTCGCAGAAAATAATCATTATGACAATATCGACAAAGTATGTGAGTGAAAAATAAATCTTTATCATAGATATCAAAGTGACTGCACGGTTCCCGCGGTGGCTAGGTAACAGGCTGCCCCGCAACGTGTGGCGGGTTCGATTCCCGCACGGAACAACTCCGTTCCAGGTCTGGGTGTGGTGTGTTTATAAAATTTTATGCTTGTTAACGTGCCCACGACATAGGAGAAAACCATAGTGTGGGGCAATTTTTTATTTTATTTTATTACATAATAAAAAATACAACAAAGTCTTGATATCATGACGAGTTTAATTAAAATCTCTTTGAACAAAAAGTACACAAAGAATTACATAAAAGAGTTTAAAAACGACTGATAGAATTCAAAAGAGAAACAATTCCATCAAAACACATGACCCAAAAACACTACACCGAGTTTCAACCCCAGAACAGCAACGCAGGGGCCGTAGCGACCATATAAATGTCAAGCTTCAACTTGGCAAGTAGCACTCATGAGCTAAATGAGTTCCAATCTAGCTGGCCGTTGTTGGATTTAAGGCCATCATAAAAGTGAGCCTTTGCCCGTTTATAACCCGGTGATCTTAAACTGAAAATGCAGGTGTTACGTTTTATTTTTACTAAGGAATTTAGTTGCGGTTTTAGGGTTACTTCAAGTGAAAATTGTTTGAGTTTCTTCTTTTTGTTTTGCTCGAAACATTTTAATTGAAATTTGTGGTACTGGAGTGTATACCTCTTGAAAAGCAGTTGGATTTTATTTATATAAGCTGAGATGTTCTATTGAATGGTTCGTTTTTGTTTATGATTTCTAATAATTTATTTATTTCTTAAAAATCTGAATATAAACGATGCTATGTATTTTCTACTACACGGTCCTTATAAAAAACACAAAATTAATAAGTAAGCCATGGCTATAAGTTCTGGCAATATTAGACGAATAAAACAAAAAGACAAACTGAAAAATACAACAGTCTTTAATGAAAAATATTTTACCAAGCTCTTCGAAATAGCGAACCCAGGTCACGAGTTTGTAATATATATAACCATGCAATATATTGTCCACAGGTGAAGTTGAGCGGCTGTTACGCGAGTATCGCCAGAACCAGGAGTTGGTGCGGAATATCGGCGCCCACTACTATCAGATCATTTACCCGGTACAGCTTCGACATCACGAGAAAATGGGCATCTCCACGCGCGAGGTCAACACTCCCAAGGTAAGAGTTTTGTAGATAAGTAGATGTACTCATTTCTTGGATATGTGTTAAGCTTTAGCAATTGATAAGAAATTAAAATGTAAAAAGAAGTGTTTCACTAGCTGAGAAACAAAAAAGTTATTGAAGAGCAGAAATCAATCAAGGCAAAGCATGTAGGAAGCTGAAAAACTAACTCAAGCAAGTTTGTGTAACTTGCAAGATTGATAGCCATAGTTATGGCATACTATTCAAAATATCAAAAACTTGAGCCAAAAATTAGACACAACAGAAAATGTTATTTGGTATTTCAGACGAAATCAAATATTCTCTCTATGGCATTCATATTTATTAAGATAAGAAGACAGTAATACTTAAATATATAATTACATTAAGGCCAGTTTCTTTCCTAGTAACTAATAAAGTAAAATTGAATTGTAAATTAACTACAAAACAGATTCTTTACTAAAACTGTTGAATAACTTCGGAAACAAATTACATATTTACAAAGTAAATCTTGTCATCTACAATTCTTTTTACCGTTTTCTTTTTCAATCACTTTTAAACGAACTTGAAAATAGGTCTAGTTTTTTCAGGGGCTGCCCTGGGAGTCCAGACTTAGCCCCTGAATGATTTCAACAGACTTTTAATCCACTTACCAAGTTCAGGCAGGCTATTCCAAATTCTTGCGCTGCAAACTTTGCCAGACACGAAGTTCTCTTATGTATTTAGAGTGATTCGGGATAAGAAGTAATTCTGGATAGATGTGTGTGTTTTCTTTGAAGATTATCTTTTCTTTTTGGAAAGTTAAACCAATGTTAGGGTTTAAGCAAATTATAAGCTCCAAAGAAAATGGTCATTTGGGTTTCAGAACATTATTATAAGGATTGTTTCCAACCACTTTTGGAGTTAACTTTATGTTTTAAGTTCGTTATAAAGAAGCTTGAAAATTAACTGAAAATACTACTAATTGTTATGAAGTAAAAGTTGTAGGATATGCTAAGCAGAAGCAATACTATCAGGAAGAAGCTAGGATATCAGACATAATAATATGACATTGTTATCGGAGATTTTGAATAAAAATATCATCAAAAAAAATGAGGACTTTAAGCCATAATTACCGATATTATTTTTTATCATCAGTTACATTGGGGATCCACAGAGGCACTTTGAGCATCTTGAAAGGCTGGTACACACTCACATTTAACGGCGTCCCTCGATCCTGGAACTCTAAGGCGCGAAGGCCTAAAGTATCTCGGGTTCAATTACTCGCCTTTACGACGATATAAAGATCATCCGACGAACATTCCACCCCATACGGTTGAGCACACAAAATATCCGTTCGGGAGCCAATTTAACTTCGCTTGGAAGTTGTTTGAAGTTCTGAAAGATTGTTCGATCGGTTCCTCTGCCTTTAAAAGGTCCCAAGTAATTATATAAACATTCTCTCCGCCATATTGAGATCCGAACTGGTGGGATTAATAAGGAAATTGGGAAGATTGGAAGTAATTATGCTTTGTTTACGACAGTTCCCTGATAGAATTTCGCAGCATGTGATTTAAAAAGTAAAAATTGGCAAACTTTGTTATGATTGGTCCGCTTGTAGATTCTGTTCGACTCTAAGGGTAGCAACGTGAAACTTGTTTGCCAACGGTTATATTAATTTTGAATCTATTTTTGACTTGTTGGCGGGTGTGGGCCACCAACTTTTAGGTTGTTCGGTAATTCTGATTACTTTTACATAAGTTGTGTTGCCTCGTTTTATATTTATATCATTTCGTGTATATTAATAGGATGACTAACATAACATTATCTCTTGATATATTTAACGTTACTCTTTTAATATTGGATTTGAAGAATACTATTTTAAGAACGTCTCGTGCCATTCCTCTAAAAACGTCGATAAATTTCTCGTTACAAATGATCCGTTTCTAGTGGATTCTTTAAGAACGTTCTCATATATGGAATTGCACCGCTACGTTCTTTTCGATGAATGCCATTCAAGTTAATAGTATGGGTCCAACGTGGGTAAGCAGAATAGGTAAAGGAATATCTCTAGAATTCCCTCGAGTTAAAATGCAATCTACGAAATGAGAACGGTGAAAGTGAACGTAAAACGGTTCCAGATGTCAGATTACAATTGTGGAGATAAGTTAAACTTTGGGGATCTTATGTTTGAAGAAAGATGTCAAAGGGGTAGCCAGGGGAACCCTCTATTCCCTTTGCTATATCGGGTTCGGACGATGAAATTTAATAAAAGTTAAGAAACATAATAAAAGTGCTTGAGATACCGTATTTTTGTTATTTAATAAATGTTCAGATAAAATACCTAAACATTTACTATAATTCTTGTGCTGAAACCCCTGAAAAAGTAATGGTTCAAGCAAATATTTACTACATACTTTATCACACGATAAGTGTCCATTGCTGAGGCCTGTAAGGCCTTCAAGGTAGCTCAAGGTAGAGTGGCGAATTTTAAATTTAAAGATTTTATCACGATATTTTCCACCATCATCTATTAGTGGTATCTTAATTATGTAGGAAAGTGCATATAAGCCGGTAAGAGTCACATTAGTACTTGCTAAGTTCCAAACCTCACCCTCATAAGAAGCCGCCTTAACTTCTGGACCAACACGACAATATGGTTATTAACATCGCCAAAATTCTAGCCACTAATATTTGTTGATAAAATCAAAAGATTCAACCAAACTTGTAACGATGGCCCTCAAATTATATCTATCAGAGTTCTGACAAGCTCCCATCTGCCCTACTTTGCTTCACACCCGAAGTATTTTGTGGGCTTAACGATATTAAAACTTTAATGTATACGACCAAACGGGCCGGATAATGAGCGATTTAATTTGTCTTTTTGTCGCAGCTCTGGGCAGGGATTCGACCCCAAACTTTTCGAGTATTATAAGACCTAGAAATTTATGAGCATATTGTATTAAGCTTGAGCGGATTACCTGTTATATTTGTGTTCTTAGATTTTGGGCTTTTCTGGAGGATTCATCTTTGTAAACATTTCTTCACTAATACGAAACAATTATTTGACGCTTGAAAAAGAAATGGGCAATAACATAAATCACTAATATAATCATGTCCAACATTTCAATGAAAGAACATTCTAGAAACATTTATGAGGTAAAGCTTGACTTTAATTATTATTGTTCTGCAAAACACGATGATCACTCTAAACACTCTGAAACAAACCTTCTTCCTTTCCGAATAAGGTTGGAAACAAAGTAACCAAGTCTCAATCACTGCTTATCCGAACATTTTTCCCCATACATAATGCAGTAGGGTATCTTGAGTATTATGTTAAGATGCGTATATATTAGGGGTCTAACGATCGCATGACCAACAAGAATGTAGCCATTGAAGGATAAACAGACATAAAGTATGTCAATAATATTAACACAAGTTATAGACATGTGCTGAAACTAATTCATATGGAAGAAGAGGTAGGTTAGGTTGATTAAAATGTATTTTTTATGCGATATGGCGGCAAACGAGCAGGCTCACTACCCGATGGTAAGTAATCGGCACTGCCTATGGAAGCCCGCAACGCTAGAAGAATAGCAATTTTATTGCCGGTTTTGGGGATAAGGTGTTTCGAGGAATTAAGGATTTTAAAAGGGGAAAGGGAGTAACATACGATGAAACCCAATAACCAAACTGACTAAGAATAATTATTTGAAATAAGAAACTGTGTTTGAGGTGTTACTCTAGTCTGCCTCTTCTCACGTCTATTGAAGAACGATCTGTAACAGCTTAATAATAAAAAAAGTATTTCCCAATAAAATCAGATTCTAGTAATAAGGTCAAAGTGTGTCATACCCGTTTAAGCTCTATTACAAGGTACTTAGAGGTAATATAGGTATAAATTGAATTCTCAGTGATTCTGTAGTCAAAGAATTATTAATTGTTAGTTAATTATGACTAATAAGCGTGTTAAGTACAACACATACAAAATAAAAAATCAAGGACTGCACAGCCCGATTGGTGCGGCGGCTGGGCAACTGGCTGTTTTCTTTTACTGATTGTTGTTCCGGGTTTGGGTGTCATGTGTATGTGAAATTGTATATCCGTAACCGCACCCTCGACACAGGAGAAAAAAAGAATAAGGAAAATAATATCAACTTTGTTTACTAGCGACCACATCAAAAAAGATGTCTAACCAAAAAAAAAAAGTCAAACCTATCAATATCAGAAATTCGAATAGTGAAAAAAGAATCCAATTTGTGACCGCGCACGTATTTTTCCGTACACACACAAGAACGTCGACTCCTTTGCACAAAGCATCGTTTGTGTGAACTATATTTAAAGCAAATAGCTTTTGGGTTAGAGCGTTTGAAGCGGAAACATAACTGAACATGGAAAATAGTCTCCTTTTGATGTAGGGGATAGAAACATACTAAGCATATACATAATATAAACCTTTATTCATATATGTATGTTTGCATCTAGGGAGTAAGGGATGTGACTGAGGCTTTTTTGGATATCGATTTCGATACTGATTTGTGTTGTACTACTGTTTCATAATAAATCTAGGTTTTTTTTATTATAACTTTCGTAAGACATTCTAAATTAATTATTATGTTTTCGGCTTATTTACGTTAGAATTTGACGAAATACTCGACTAGTTTCAAGCCATGCTAGAGGCCCATATTCATGAGCAGCCTTCCGCGACACGCGACTCGGCGGCTGTCGCGCTGCTACTGGCTACTCGAGTCTGCGCGTCCAACGCGCCCTCTGCCGCGACTCGCCCGCCTGCAGCTTGGTTGGTGTTGGGTTCGAATCCCGGGTAGACGCAAGAACAGTGTTACATACCGCGCTAACACCTCTAGCATGGCTTGAAACTAGTGGAGTATCTCGTCAAATTATTACGTGAGTAAGCCGAAAACATAATAATTAAAACTAGGTTTGCTTCTCGGTGAAAGAATATGCGAAAAGAATCAATCATCTGCTAACACGGAGAATGAATAGGCACTTTTATATATTATAAGTAGAGCTTGCAGTGAATTAGCGATTTTAAACTTATGTTTAGAGATTTTAAGTCCAGTTTTATTTGCGATGATTTCCTTTAACGTATCCGAGTAAAGTCTGACATAGGAAAACTTACAAATATTCAGTATATAATGGGCGGTATTATATTACAGACAACGCTTAAGAATAATTATGAAAGTATATATACGGTCTAATTGAGAAACCTTATTTGAGGTTGACTTAAAACAAAAGAATATTAATTTTCAAAACTGAACCACCTCACTCTGTAACATTTATAACATAAAAATCTTAAAGTAGCTATCACATTAGAACTCTTCCAACTGAAATATAAATCTTGACTCAAAGCATGCAAAGTAAATTCTAAATTGAACTAATTTATACGAAACAGAGTTTGACTGTACACTAGCTCACTTATTTGAAATCCTTGCATTCGAAGCAAACAAGACGGGGCTAAATAAATACATATAGATAAATGTAACTGTAAGTTTGTATATAGTATTCCATTTTCTCGTAAATCCCAGTTCAGAGGCTTCGGTAATTACAGTGGCAAGATAAACAAGGCAAGGAGGGATTCGTTTACTGTCGTCTAATTTTGTTTACTTATGTCTGAAACAGTAATGCGTCGATTTTTTCTTAAGTACCAATCTTTGAGCGGAGCGAGGATCGGTAGTAGGGTGTGGTGTTACTATAATTTCTTATTATATGTCTCCTATCACAAATCTATCTTGAGCTAGTCTGGTATTTAATTATAAAATAATTATAAAATGAAGGTTGACTGGTAGAGAATGCCACATGGCATTAAGTCCGCCTTTTGTACCAACTTCATTTCATTGTGTACAATAAAGCATAAATAAATAAATATAATGACCAAACCTTCTCCGTGTGAGAAGAGAGCTCTACTCAGCAGTCAGCAGTGGACACTTATAGACTGATATGTGTGATTTGATGTGCTGATACTTAATAGCAGATGTTATGAAACTGATCACATGACATGTAAGTCGCTGTCTGTCCGTCTATCGATTCAGGATTGAAGTACTTATATATTTCTAAAAAGAAGAATCTTATAAAAAGATATCATAAAGATTCATGATCAAAAAATTTGGTTTGAGATGTACAGGAATAATTCACCTTCATTTTAATAATAACTTATCCCCTGGGAATAAACATGATAGCATTGTTAGATCTAAATTCTGTAACAAAACATCACAAGCTTCATTCATTACCTCAGAGTCCATATTTTTCCACAAACATTTTGCAAACGACAATCATTCTAATACATTCATTCTTTACAATCTATAAATACCGCTATCACTGTTGAATTACACCACAATGTCCTCTCCAGGGAGGAATAAATTCCGTCCCAAAGACAATTTTCATGGATTTACAATCATTTCTTCTTTCAACACAAAAACGACTTGTTTGCTAATTTTTTACATAAAAAGCGTGGAAATGTGTTTTTCAAGTGTCCCTATATAAATAGATTTTGGACAAAGTTTTTGAATATTTTTTCTGTGCCGTTTAGGTACTTTTAAATCGTTCCGTTGAAAAGAATTAGGTTCTAGAAATTTCTTGAATGTCTTTTAAGTGTCATTTTGGAGATGAGTTGAGCAGTTGTTTATTAAATATGTGTGACATAAAATATGATATTCTGACTTCATTCACACATACATAAACACACACGAATTCAAACAATGGCGACGATTCACATTTTATCATGAAGCATAATTTTTATTCCTTGCATAGTACTCCTTTAAAATGAATAAATCCAATAACACAACACAGCACAAGCTCGCAGCTATAAGCCAAAAACTCAACCCACATTTAATACTTCCAAAAAACGGTCCCAACTAAAAAACGTAAATCTTGAACACCTTCATCACAGTTAACTGAAACCCTCAAAGGTAACCAGTTCCACAGATTTTGTAACAAAAAGGCAACAGTAAAATACAGAATCAATTTAAAGTTTAGAAAACACGTTAAGGCTTGCGGTGGGGACCCCTGTTTACGGCTAAAAGTTACTGACTCCATGCAAATTGCATTAGACCACCATCTTACAAGACAGCTACTACAACCACAATCTTAACTTACTTGAATATTACTTAATTTTGGTGATTTTCTTAAGTTTTTTAACGACGTAATCTCGACAGGGATGTAACCATTTTCGATGGGTACAGGGAAATGTTTAAAAGGTTTTAATATTTCAGTGGTCAGAGGGTTGAATCAGTAAAGACTTTTAATTATTTTTATTACTTTCTTCTTAACTCGATCTTTGTGTCATGAATGTTGGAAGGTGTCCTTTCGAAGTTTTGAATGAAAATTGAGGTACTGGTTTTGAAATAAAAACATGAATGAACTAGATCAAATGGTTTTTATATGTACCGCCTTGAGGGGAGTTTTCGGCAAAAGTAGTAATGAAATATTTAAGGCTAGCGTAAGAAATTTTGTTATGACTTCTTATCAATTATCAGTTAGTTAACGTCATCTAGACTAAACTATAATGTGTTCAAAGACATTCTAAGGAATCTTTCACTACGAGTATAATTAAGAATAGAAATAATAGAAAAGTCTTCGATCGAGCAAATTCTACACTCTTCCACAACAAAATTAATCAACAAATCATCCAAACTCAATCAAAATAGTTACATAACAGCTTAAACATAAGGTTGAAGATAAACAAATGTTAGATTGAAACGTAACCATAACATGGCGGTCACGTGTCGAAGTAGGCTCCGTTCTGGATTACGTGGCTTACAGGGAACAAGTTTGTGGAATACAACCTTACTGAAGTACTTTCAGAGTTCCAATTACGTGTTTACGTCTGAAGATTTCAGCTTAGAATTATAGGGATGACAATTAATTATGAAAATTAAATATCTATTTAGTGTTAGTTAGGTAATATAAAATATAACACGATATTAGGTTTAATTATATCTATACTAATATTATAAAGAGGTATAATTTGTAAGTTTGTATGTAGGGGGTAATCTTTGGAAGCGCTGATCGGATTGCAAAAATTCTTTCACTGATATGTAGTTACAATGTCCCTGAGTTTATAGCCTATAAAACATCACGCTACGATCAAATCGAGCAGAGCAGCGGGTAAAACCGCGCGAGAGAAGCTAAGATAATGCACGCCTTTGTTAGGTATAAAATGTATAAAGAAGTAGAGGCGTCAAAAGTTTGATTTCTAAAATACAAAAGTGCTTCCAACACGTTGATAGAAAAAGAACAAAGTTCAGAAGTGGGTACTTAAGAAAATTAAACTAATGTTGATGATGATACCTTAAACTGTATTTACGTTCGATATTTAATAATTCAAATATCATCGTTATCACCATCATCTCATAAGTACCTACTCCTTAGAAATGGCTAAAGGCAAGCGTGCAAGGCTTGGCTTTTAGGTAAATGGAAATGCCAAAAAAAAAGAAACTATACCACTGTTTTAAACTGTAGGTAAATAATTATAAATTGTAGGTTCAGATTTCCTCCCTTCTGATGTTTTTCTTCACCGTATGCCGTCCGTAGGGTCTAAATAATCTTTGAAAGTACATATAACTGCACGACTTTGACTGCACGGTTGGCGCGGTGGCTGGGCAACTGGCTGCCGTGCAACGTGTCCCGGGTTCGATTTCCGCACGGAACAACTCTTTGTGTTATCCTCAAATTGTTGTTCCGGGTCTGGGTGTGATGTGCATGTGGAATTGTATGTTTGTAAACGCACCCACGACACAGGAGGAAATCTCAGTGTGGGCCAATGTTTTTTTTTTTAAAAAAATCTCAAAATGGGACATTGGTACATGATAAATATCAAACTCATAAATGTGAAGCGGACACATTGACTTCCAAGCCATCAAAACTGTTAATTAAACTATTACAAAGGTATTAAAACATTTTTGGTCGACATCCCTACTCGGCTTGCTGTCTTTTAGCACTCGTTCTTCAAGATCCTGAAGTAGTATATTCGTTTGTTTATGTGAAATGTAATACTCTTGTAAGTTATACTGCTTATGTCGGTACTAATTACTTGAATTGCGAATTTGTGATCTTGAAAATGTCCTTTGACGAATTTTCTTTGGTAATTGTATATGTTTGGTGATGTGATTCTAACGTCTAAGTATTTCTGCGTTGAAGAGCTGTTTAACACACATTGTTAGGAGACTTTATATTTTGTAGCTAATTAAAAACTGTCATGAATATTACATATATTGCATAATAGCAATTTAGAATAAGAATTCAACGACGTTGCTTTGTCTTTCCAATGTTTAGTTCAATATTACAAAATGTTTGATCAACATTATTCTGAAATGGTGTTTGTTAAGATTAGACTACGATATTCAAGACATCAGTTGAGTAGTAGGATTATAGCAATCTTCCTGTTCTGTGAAGCCTTGGTATTACTCATTTGCACCAAAGTCTATCTCTGTTACAATTAAAAAACTATATTTTACTAATTGTTACTTTTTTCTTGTTTTCACAGGGCAGAGGTTACGACTACCAACAGGGCACAAGGTCGCGCGCTAGGGTAAGTGTTTAATATTAGTTTTATTATGCATTTACTCTTTTGTACTTCGCAGAAATATGATACTTATTTGAGGCGGTAACAGTTTGACGAAAACATTATAACAAGATAAAAAAATTAAACAGAAAATATTGATTTACGTATAGTAAAATTCTGATATGGGTAGGTGTATACCTACATTTTTAAATAGCCTTAAAGTCTGTATAGACTTTAAGGCTATTTCTCTTTAAACATTATTCATATTTTTCTTTATAGTTACGGTCAAAATATATTTATTATCTGCCAATCACGTCTTAAATGTTTTGGAATGAACATTGAACACAAACAGCCCAAGTTTGGGGCTACTGACAGCTTCAAGCAAACAAAAGTGAAATCATTTATTTCAATTGGACCCTTCGCAGGATTTTGTCAACAAGTCAAGCAATTTATTTGAAAATTTGTTTAACACTTATATAAGCGTAGATTTATAAGAAAAGGCATACCCATAAGAATGGAATAGTTGTTGTTTTTAAACGTTTACTTTTAAGACAGTATTTATATCATCTTCAAATGATTTCGTTGGTGAACTGTGACTTTTCGTTGTCGAATTATTAATTAGTTAACATGACGTCTAGAATTTTTCTTATTTTCGTTAGATGAAAATCATCAAATGACTTTTCCCTCCCAGAATCGGATGGGGGGCAGTGCCAGACTCTAACTGACTAAAAACCCCCCGTTCCTTCTCTTGCTATGGGCTTAGGTCGCGGTGCCTTATTGCGCTTACCCCGCAACCCCGGCTGAACATCAACCCTTTAGGGCCCCGTCTGTGGTGGTCTATTAGATCTTTGAGGCGCGCTGCGGAACGCTACGTGCCGTAGCTTATCCGTTATCTGACTACTGAAAAATAAGCCCTTAATGTTACTAAGGTTGTAATTAAATAATATTTAAAATATGTCTTCTCTATTTTTATTTTGTTTTTACATATTCTGTGTAAACTTAAATAAATAATTAGAAGTTTTAGTTAAATTATCGTAAATGATCCGAAGTTAACACAAACATATGACATGACGTCGTAGTTATCATTCTCAATAGGCATAGACTTACATATATTCATCTCTTTAAGCATTTAGAAAAACACTGTTAGTTTTGTGTCTTTTATGCGTCCCAGACGCGAATAAATACATTTTCTTTCTTTCTTTCTTTCTTTCTAGAAAATACTTCATCTAACAAATATGTACCTACTAAGTTGCAAAATTGTACATAAAACAATAAATAGTTACATAATAGGTGCGAAGCCAAATAAATAAGCCAGGAGAAGTCATTATATTCCCCAAGTATTTCCCACAGGAACTATTCAGAGTAATTACAAGGATCTGCCTGTTGTTGAAATATACTATTGTATAATTATGATAAAAAGAGATAAGGTATATAAATAGGAACTTTATCTTGTTATTTAAAAGTGGATCTTATAACTATAGGTTAATGAATCGAAATTCTGCTGTGAGAAAAGAAATAATTCAATTGTAATATATATAAAAAACCTGTTTTAAATTCAGTATGAAAAAAAAAATACTCGAACTTAGCAGTAATTTTTGATATTGCTAATCAAAAAGAATAAAATATTCAACTAAATTTCCCCTGTTATTTAACGATACCTAAATATGAGACAATACACTCCAATATTCATTCTGTGATACGATTAATTAGACAAAATAACTGAACAAGCAATAAACATCCTTCATGAAACATACAAATCAAACCAACTGCGACCGTATTGCTTACACTATGTAACTCAGTGTTCAATAAACACTTTGAACACTTGAAGACAGAAAATAAAGCCAACAAAATTTCTTAACGAAATCAAAATTTTGAAATGTGTCTTTTTGTGCGAAATGCTAAAACTACGAAAACACACGTAATTTACAAAGGCAGGCAGGAAGCCACTATTCACCGTTTTAACTTGGGGTATATTACAGTGTATATGTATGTACGTATGTTTGTTGTATATGTGGTTGTATATATGTGATAAACCTCTATTTGGTGTGCCTTTTCTTCTTCGACTACGTTTAAGTTCTCAAATTAGTGACTGTGTGTGTAAGGAAACAACCAGTTGGATTTTGGAGCTTGAATATGTGTAGCTAAGGTCTTTTTTGAAAATGATAAATTGAATGACGAAATTTTCGTGAGAAATAGGTTTTTTTAATGTTCAAAAAATTTGTTTTGTAGAACATGGTAATGTGCTTGTGGTTTTAAGGATTTTATTCACGACAATCGTATATAAATCTAAGAGAGAAATAATGACATACTACTTGAAGTGACTTGCTCAAAAAGTTGATTTTACAATTATATTTTTGTATAAATACTACGGTGCGCGCCTGTTTGCATTATTAACCAAGTATTTCTCCCAAATTTTCTTAAATTTTCTTATATATTAAGTATCCTAACAATTATAAAACATGATTAGATAGATTAACAATTAGAAATGGGTTCAGGCGCTGTTGAGTAAAGTGCTTTTGCGATTCATTATAAGGTATATACATATCATTTAAAGATTAATTGATGAAACAAACTTGACTGCACGGTTAGTGCGGTGGCTGGGCAACTGGCTGCCGTGCAACGTGTCACGGGTTCGATTCCAGCACGGAACAACCCTTAGTATGATCCAAAAATTGTTGTTCCGTGTCTGGGTGTGATGTGTATGTTTATTTGTATGTTTGTAAACGCACCCACGACACAGGAGAAAATCCTAATGTGGGGCAACGTTTAATTAAAAAGAAAAGAAAAAAATCTTTTTTCATACTTTTTGGTACAAAAAACATGTAACCGAAGCATTGACTGCACTTTACACCTGCTTATCTTTCACACAAGTACCAGATAAAATAATAATTATGTGACATTAAGTTACAAAATATAAATACACGTATACAAATATTACGGTAGAAGCCCTGACTCTGACTACATAAATATAACATAAAAGCTAAAATTAAACTGAAACTCATATATTCATAGAGGCTACAGTCTGCCAATATAAAACAGAATTAACCTCAAAAACTCGTTAATCCATTCACGTAGCCACTCAACATGGAATTATGATGGGTATTCCATATAATAACGGGTAAAGCAATAAATTACACCTGCGCCGAAACGTGTGTATCTAGTTTCAACCTCATTATGTTTCTCCTGGATTTTGACAGATTAATTTCAACTTTGTTATCAAAGCGTCAGGGTGGATAGTTGGTTAGTAGGATGCAAGTGATGGGAGTGGAAGGAGAACAATTAGTTATGAGTATACTATTAATTTATTATTGAAGTTTTAGCTCCATCTAATTTGTCCCCGCCATCAATGATATATTGCTGTTTTAATAGTTTCGCGAATGTTATTAGAATGGTTTTCGGTAATGTGTGTATTTTATTATACATCGAATTACTTAATAAAAAAATGTGCTATCGACGTTGATGAAAATGGATCGATATGGAATGGATTGATTACTAAATTGAAGAAGGATTTTTGCCTGGTATTTGACAAATGGCTCACAGTTCTGTTGCTACCAAGATGGCTGTGTTTCATGTAATTTCATAATACTTCAAATTACTTTAAACACCATAAATATAAGTAAACGATTACCTACTTTTTTAATACATGAGTAAAACAAAATATAATTAAGTACATTTATTTTCACAACAGTCTCTATACTTCATACAACAGACAACCCACCTCAAACGTGTACACATGTTGCAAAGCCAATAACACTAACACGTTTTAGAACAAAATTATTCAAAACAACAATTTTGAAAGCCACAAGAACGTTCTAGAATACAAAACTTAGACCATAGTTTTAAGGTTTAAACAGAATTAATGTGCCTAGTTCTAGGTTTCATTAGGCATGCAAGCTGGTGCTTCGGTACAGGCTTTCATTAAACACGACGTATACACAGCACATCAACCTTTACCAATTTCTCAAACACATTTTCGACTTTATCGCAAAAGGTTGAAGTACAAAATCTATTTGGCAGTTTGGTATATTTTGATATGCGTTTGTAACTAAAGATCATATAACGCGAAGCCGCTAATAAATAGAATGCTTGTACTTAATTAGTCAGAGGATTTCATTAACATTAATTTACGTGCCTGTCTTATTGATTTAGACTTTGTCACAGGGATTGTGTCTGAGGTAGAAATATATCACCAAAAAGGTTATTAAACATTTATAAAGCGACTAGACATAGACATAAACTTTTCTTTGAAGGCGGAAAAGCATAAGACGACTTTTCTGCCTAGGTTGTGTGACGAGAGGGAGTGTAAGACTCTTACCCGGTTCCGTCTCGTGTTCTAGGCCGAGGACGCGGTACTAATCCAAACTAACATTATAAATGCCAAATGGAACTCTGTTTGTCTGTCTGCCTGTCTGTCCTTTCTTCACGCCTAACCTACTGAACCGATTTCTGTGAAATTTGGTACAGACATAGTTTGGAACTCGAGAAAGAACATAAAATAGTTTTTTTACCAAAAATCTGCAGTTACTGTTCCACGCGAACGGCAAAAACTTAATAAAACCTTTAAATACGTATCACCTATTTATAACCTCACTCAGTACAATAAACTTCAGTATAACACAACATTTTGGAAATTGTTTCACTAATCTCCCTCCTCACAACTCAGTATATTGCTGTAGCTAATAACTCCACTCCGACATACAAAGCAAATTCATCTAGTTGAACACAGCACCTCCCTTTTAGCTACAGTTGGGTACAATACAATACATATATCACTTGGTCCTTAGGTGGGAGGTCTTGTGTGGTTAGGGTTGCCAGTTTATGAAAAACGTTTTATTATGGTAGGAATTATTAAGTGTCGGGTGTAAAAATATTGAAATTGAAAAAGTGAAAAATATACTAGTGTAAGTAAAATAAAGGTACATAAGTAATTTTTTTTCTGTATATTTTTATATTATGAATAGTATTTTTAACGCATTTGAAATAAAAAAAGTAGATAATGAATTAATAAAAAAATGTTTAATAAATAT